AAAGCTTCGATCAATTTGTGTATTGTTTGCAAAGTAATATGACCAGTGCCGAGAGAGATGATGCAATTGGTATACTGTACGAGGTGTATGATAAAACTTCTGTCATAGATTGTGAATTAATAGTTTATGCTGTAGATAAACTTATTGCTGAAACCTTAAAACGAGGTGATGAACGAAAAAAATTAATAATTGTATAATAAATATTTGTATAATAAATAAATTTTATAATAAATTGTATAATAAATTGTATAATAAATAAAATTTTTATCCACTAACATTTTTTCTTCTGCTTCCTACCCATACATATAAGATCGAGATATGAATAAATTTAAAAATATGCTGTGGAAGGGAGAGTACACAAACGGAAAGAAGTATAGGATACGTATGGAAAAAAGAAATTAATGCAATATTGTTAGAAATATATTAATTTTTGTAAAAAAAACACAAGTTGTTACATATTTATTTCTCATGCATGGACCAACAATTGTACAGTTAAAAAACATTTTGTAAAGCACAATTCGCTTCATGCCTATAGCAATGCACAGTGTGCGCAACGTCCAACTTATTTAGAGATTGTATGTCTTCGTAGTGCGCATCGATAGTTTCGATATAAACATTGTAACGATGCACCCCCCGATGCACCGTTCCCGGCATCACACCCGCCGGATGCCGCCCGACCGAACACCCGTCGGGCGAGACGCAGGCGCATAGCGCCGCATAAGATCGCGACACACCGGCGCGACGACCCGCTAGGCCGGGGCCACGAGCGGCCCCGGAGATCGCCGAGCGGGCCCGAGCGCGCGTCACGGCCGCGAGCCAAACGCGCCGATCAGCTGGGGCCGCGAACGGCCCCGGAGATCGACGACCAGGCCCGAGCGAGCGACGCGACGACAAGCCATGCGCAAGCGGCGCGCGCCGCTACGCACGCGCACCCTCGAGCGGGCTAATTACCCGTGACAATTAGCCCCTATAAAAAGGGGCAACCGAGCGTCGAATAGCACTCCTTTGGAGACGAGCTTCCGAGCAACAGCCGCTTATCCGCAAGTCTCAATACCCGACTCCTGTCGCACGCTAAGCAGTGGGAAACCAGCGGTGGAGAGTACTCCGCCACGGTCGAGCTTTCTCGACACTGCGCACGCGTGCTCACCTGCACACCGTACCCGGACACACACGGAATGGAGCGCTCTCCGCCTCGACCGAGGATTCTCGGGCCCGGGTACATTACCTGACCGCATATCGGACACCGGCTCACAGGGACCAGGAAGTGGAGTGTACTCCGCTTCCCCCGAGTTTTCTCGGCACCCGCCGTAGCCAACCGATTCCCGACCAGGCACCGCGCCGCCCGCGACCGATTCCTGCGCCGCGAACACCCAAGCCTCCACTTCACAAGGCCGACCGGGAACCCGCGCATCGCGTTACCACGAACCGTCATCGTCATTCATATCATATCACGTTCATCACATCTCGCATTTCACTGTACATAATACCATCTCATCCCGCGCCGCATCCGTCCGTCCGTCCGTCCGTCCGCGACCGCGTTCTTATAATAAGTGTATATAGTGTATCTGCGTCTTTTGCTTAAATATAGTTTTGTGATTATTATTTTACCGTAATTCTGTTTTCGAGTGCTTTCACCTAATCCCTCGAACCCTGCCACCGGCGAGCACAGTTCGCGGGGAATACGATTAGGCAATCGTTTCAACATTTTCTCGCACATCGCCCAGGAGTAACCTCCGCAGCCATTCTCGTTTTTCAAGTCCCTTAACATATACGAGAGAAAATCTCGTCTCGTAATCGCTGTCGTCATCATCATCATCCTCCTTCTCCTCTGTACCAACCACGGCTGTTGTAATCAAACTTCTAGCTCTGCTGTATGGAATCACACCGTCTTCCCATCGTACTCCGTGACGATTTGAAATCAACCAGGATGCTTGGTGTTGCTCCGCTTTGGTGAGGCATTTCCATGGTACGGGACATGTGAAAATGTAGTGAGAGAGAACACATCCTTCTCTGAGAGAGGCAAACTCTTTTACATAAAAGTTTCTGCCAACGATAAAACCTTGCAGGTCCACAAACGTTGGTATGGGCATGTCGAGACTTGTTTGGACACGCCGAGACTCGTTTGAACACGTCGAGAGAAGGAGAAATATTACGGTTCGTCTGTTCCTCAAAACACATTTTAAAATGACATCTATGTGAAAAGGATGGGGGTAAAATTTACCAATGGGATGAAAAGAAAAAGAGGGGGTAAAAATATATTAGCTAAGCTTATAATCCCACATTTCAAAAGAGAAAACATGGTTAAGGGTCTGGGTCGAAAAAGGCAAAGAGGGGGTAAAAAGTATATATGTATAAATATCCATTGTTATATTTGGCGTAATTTGTTGATAATATCATTACTTTTGTAGAGAAGATAGTTTTGTAAAAAAGATTTTTGTAGAGACAATATTTTTGAAAAGGTATTTTTGGAAATATGTTTTTATAAAAATATTTTTGTAAAGAAGATACTTTTGCAGGAAAGATATTTTTGTAAAGAAGATACTTTTGCAGGAAAGATATTTTTGTAGAGAAGATACTTTTGCAGAAGAGATAGAGTAACATTGGAGCTTATACTTGGTGCATTTCTTACCTTTTTTAAAAAGGTAAGTTTTTTGGGTGATATCACACCTTTTGTAGTGTTAAATACTATAAATAAACTCTAGACACTATGCCCGTTGACTGGTAACGCGCTAGTTATTATTACAAGAGAGAACCACGAAAGAACCGATGTCCGTTTTGTATGATATTAACCTTGTGTCGTTAACCACGATGTTAGACTTTGTGACGTGGCACAGGGGTGCCCGTCCCGGTTGGCGATCGCGTAGGGTTGACCGACCGGCTTAGCCACCTCACCTCTTTCTTTCGCGCTTTTCATGAGATCGGTCTCCGCGGGCGAGGCGGCCCGACGGGAGCCCGGCGCCTAGAACGCCGAAATAGGCCGTCTTGAGGAACTGGCTCGCCCTGGCCAGGCGAGCCCCGGAAACCTCAAGGGCCTTAGGCCATAAGGCCCCTCGGACATTAAGAAGATCGGGCGGCGAACTAATAGATAATCGCGAGTTCATAAGGCCCGCGCGGCGGAATCTCCCCGCCGTCGCGGGCCCCGGCGGGGTGGCGCGCTAGCGTCGCGCTGCGGGCTTCTTGTCGCGGGGCGCGCGCCGTGGGGACACACAGTGGTGGCAGACTCGAGCGGAAGCGGATGTTCTTGGTGGCTGAAGGAGCCGGGGAGAGAGAGCTGGAGAGAGCCGAGCCGAACCAAGGGGACCAGCCGCGGATCGTCGTTCCGCAGCGGACCAGGGATCGCCGTGTCCAGGTAGCGGGCCCCCTATGGGTGACCCGCCGTCTCGTACCGCTCGCGCGATTACATCCTCGCGCTCGCTCGGCCGCCATTCCGTGTCGCGTACCGTCTCATTATGCGTTCAGTGTATTTCGTGTCGCGTACCATCTAGTTAGGGCTCAGGGTATTTCGTGTCGCGTTCCGTGAAATCGCGAGTATTGGGAGTAATTCATGTCGCGTCCCGTCTAATTACGTATCGAGTACTTCGCGTTGCGTACCGTAGGGTCGTGTCGTTGCGCGTATCGCGCGCCTTAGAGTAGCACGCGGCTTTCACGTGATCGCGCGCGGGCCCATGCGGCTGCGGCGTGCCGCGCGTCGTGCCGGAATAGCGCCATATACCGGGTGCCGCGGACCCTCGGCATACTTCGCGTAAACTCCCGTCTCGTTCCGTCCTTCGTCCTTTGCGTCTTTTCGTCCTTTGCATCTTTTCGTCCTTTGCGTCTTTTCGTCCTTTGCGTCCTTTCATCCTTTACGTCTTTTGTCTCTCACGTCCTCCCGTCCTTGATATCGTGACCTCCTTCTGTCTCGTTACGTGTTCCCGTCCTTACGTCATCCCGTTAATGCGTCCTACGTCTCTCCGTCGTTCGGCAGTTCCCCGCCGCGTATTCCGTCCTGTGATTGTTATCGGGGGGAAGGGTAGCCCATGATGAAAAATGCACCGTTGGTGCCGCTCTGAGGTTACCTCACCCTTTTAATTTTTACCCTTCCCGTCCCGTAGCGCTTTACCCGGGTCACTCGGTCCGTATTGCCGCGTAAGAACCGCGCCCCTCTGCCAAGGTTAGAGTGGCTGAGCTGGTCGGCCGCGCCAGGATAGTCGATTCTGCCGGAGTCCGCCCGATACGGGAAACAAGGTGATGCGGCCTTCTCCGCACCTGGCGCCCACTAATTCGATGTGTTTCGCTTCGCGATTTCGAACGGACGGAGTCCGGCAGAGGCCGGTGGCCGGGAGCGAATATCGCGCTCCAGAGTACGTCGATTCCGACGACAGCGACGACGGGTCGAGGCCCCGCGCCCGAGTTCGCAGTCGTTATAACTTCTATACGAGTCCTCAGTCTGAGAAATAGTGTAGCCAATCAAGCAAATACAGGGTGAGGCATTTAAAACTGTTTTTCAGAATATTTGGAAAAATACAAATCGGATTAAGAAAAAGTTGCAATAAAAGTTGTTCACCTCGAAGAGGGACATCCATTAACATAAAGCTCGACCCCCTGCACCACCCCCGGGGGCGGAGGGGGGTGACTTTGAAATCTTAAATAGAAACCCCTATTTTTTATTGTAGATTTGGATTCTCCGTGAAAAAATATGTAACTTTTGTATGAGACATTTTTTTCGTTTCATGATAGATGGCGCTGTAATCGGCAAAAATGAAAATGAGTTGAAAATTGTTGAAAAATGGTAATATCTCAACAAAAATACACATCAGATTAGGAAAATCAAAGTAAATTTCTTGATATTTTTGAAAATGCTATCATGTGACACCGTCTACCCTCCTGCAATGCATTCTTAGACTACTTTTAGCTTTACCGAGGAACAACGACGTGGACGTAGTAGTAATTTGTTCCCTTCGGGGTGCTTGATTACTGTGAGTCCCCTTGCCTCTCACAAGTGTTTTATTGAAGCAAATGTTCGAAAAGCAAAGTGGTCAGACTGTTCATTTTACTTCAATGATTCGGACTGTAAACGTCTCTTCTCAATTGTTCCACGATGTTAACGATTGTAGAGAGAGTAGATATCATTTCCTCGTACTTTGAGGCTCATAGAAATGTTGAAGAAGCTCGTCAAAGGTATGCTAATCTGTTCTCTGATAGGAATGTTCCTTCTGCAACGACTTTTCGCAGTATTGTCCAACTGTTTACTGAAACTGGAAGTCTAAAGAAAGAGTCCGACCGCGGCCTGTGACAAACTAAAATAACTCAGTGAATGTTTTAGCTGCAGTTGCTGTAAATCCTCACATTAGTTCTAGGCAAATTACGCGAGGTTCAGGAATTTCTCAAAGAAGTGTTCTACGCATACTGCATGAACACAAATTTCATCCATTTCATTTATCGCTGCATCAAGAACTGCATGGTGACGATTTTCAAAATCGCTTGAATTTTTGCAACTGGATACAGGAACAACTGGTAGTCAATGATAATTTCATTTCACAGATACTTCTGTGATGAATCAAATTTTACGAATCGTGGTCAAGTGAATCGACATAATATGCATTATTGGTCAGTGGAGAATCTCCATTGGTTAAGGCAAGTTGAACATCAACGCCCGTGGAGTGTCAACGTTTGGTGCGGTATTTTAGGTACTCAGGTAATTGGCCCATACTTCATAGAAGGTAATCTGAATGGTCAAATGTACAGCGACTTTTTAGATAATGTTTTACCCATACTAATGGAAGATGTTCCACTTCAAACAAGAATGGATATGTGGTTTCAACACGATGGATGCCCAGCGCATTATTCACGAATATCTCAAGAAGTTTTGAATCGAAACTATCCGGGTCGATGGATTGGACGAGGAGGTCTTCAAAATTGGCCCGCACATTCACCCGATTTGACTTCTGTCGATTTTTTCCTGTGGGGAAGGCTAAAAGAGAGAGTTTACATGGATGTACCAACAACCCCAGAAAATATGCAGCAGCGAATTATCAATGAATGTGCAAACATTAGCGCAGAGACACTTATAAATGTCGGATTGTCTTTCAGACACAGAGTTGCAATGTGCATTAGAAACAACGGACATCATTTCGAACATTTGCTTCAATGAAACACTTGTGAGAGGCAAGGGGACTCAGAGTAATCAAGCACCCCGAGATAGTGAGAGGCAAGGGGACTCACAGTAATCAAGCACTCCGAGATAGTGAGAGGCAAGAGGACTCACAGTAATCAAGCACCCCGAG